TGTGATATAATGATTATGTTAAAACACAACCAACACCATGCAGATGACCTTTTCTATTTGTTCATCTGGCAGTTATAACTCGGATAAAGCAGCCAAACAAAATCTAAAGTCAATGATGTGAGGGTCAAAAGCCCAATTAAAACACACACTTATCACCATGATGGTTACTTTAAATTCCAGTCTTCTCCTTCAGTGATTCTGCTTGTTAATATCAGGTGTCTTTAATAATACTCAATTATTCACTTAATTGTCTCATTAACTTTAACACTGCTTCAACGTAACCCAGTTATATGCAGCCAGCCTGTTGACCTAAAAAATTATTTAAAGTCATCATATTAGTACCCGATGACATTAAAAAGTTAATTAAAGTCCACATATCATTATGTTATTTAACATAACCCAGTTATGTGCAACCTGTTGACATAAAAAAGTTAATTTTTGGAATCTGTTGGTATAGTGAAGTTAATTAAAGCTAACATAATTTTTTTGAGTGTTCACATTGGTTACACAGACAGGGCTTAGATTAAGCCAGGAGTAGACCTTAGTTCATTTAGAACATTTAAGTAGCTTTTATAAACATGCCTTAGAAAATAAAACATTCCTGGTGTACATCTTGAGACAAAACAATGGCTCTTACATGTTTGAAGATTAAATTTACTTATCAACTTTAAATGTTCTTTATTTTAACTTAACTTATAACTAGTAACAAAATGCATCATGTAGCTTTTATAATTTAAAAGTACTTCACCATAATATAATTTACATGACAAATGTAAGCAGCTTGCTAGTTTACCTGTACACACAGATGCAGAGAAACTCTTCTTTTCCTCAACCGCCACTACAATGATGTTATAACTTGTGCCAGGCGAAAGCCGTTTTATCTCAAAATGGTTTTCATGCGTTGTTTTAGTATAATCTATTTCTTCATTCTTCCATTTGATTTCGAATTTTTGTTGTCCATTCGCAGCCACATCTGGATCTCCCCATTGGAAGCGCACTGAGTGCGGGCCTACGTCAGTGAATCTAATGTGACCTGAGGGAATATTTGGAAAAATGCTTTTGTTAAAGATGAAGCGTATTATTTCACTGCCGCTGACACCAAACAGAACTGAAAATATAATATCAGATTATTTTGTTTTTAAATGGGTGTTCTGAACGCCACCCAGATGACAAACACACACAACTGGTTGAGCCAATGTTGCAGCTTTGGCCTTTTTTATGTGCAAATCAAGGTGTAATAGAGCTAGTTTACAGTTATATATATATATATATATATATATATATATATATATATATATATATATATATATATATATATATATACATATATAAAATCATCCCAAACATGGTTTATAGTTTACTCGTTGTCTGAGAAATTAAATTATGAATGCATGTAAATGATAAAAATTAATTCTTTTATACCTTCTTCTTCATCTTCTTTTTCATCTTCTTCTTTATCCATGTTTGTGCCTGTATTCCTATTGTTACACAAAACAAACATGTTCCAAAAATGTCCATTCAAAATATAAATATATAAAATAAGCTTCTCTCAAGTATTTGATTCCAGTTTACCTTTGAGAGCCACTGCTTTCATCCTGATCCTCCATCTCTTGCTTCAAAAGACAAAATGATGGTCTCTAAGTCTCTGTCTAATATATGACACATATATATATACTAAGCTGCAAGACGGCTTTAGTGAGCTCAGTTCCTGTCATATGTGTGTGTGTGTGTGTGTGTGTGTGTGTGTGTGTGTGTGTGTGGGGGGGGGGGGTGGGGGGTCACTGGTTAGACTGGTTTACAGTTACTGAAAATGAAAAAAATTTTAATATTTTTGAATGTTAGGTATGAGGAAGATTTTTGTAATGTACTGGAAAAGCGTGTAAGATGAACATAAATCAAGAAGCTGATGCAAAGAATGTTTAGCAGTGAGTACATGCTGTTAAAGTGAAAGGTCTGTCAAAGTGAAAAATGTCTATATTTGTTTAATTCAAACTTAATGAGCTGCAAAATGGTGGAAGGCTTAAAGCTGTGCTTCTGAATGCCATATTGTCATCATCATAAAGACATACAGATGCAGGATTAAGCCCCCTTTTATTGAATACATGGCAATTTTTACAGTGTAAAGTTGACATAAGTGCTTGCACACAGGAACTTTATTAAAATGTGATATTGGGGGCACCTTTACATACAGTGCTGATTTGCCATCTTTTCAATGGGCTATTGAAAACATCCTTTATACATGATATTCCTTTTCAAATAAGAAATAAAGTACAAAATGGACAAGTATTTTAATCACATGACTAATAGGAAACCGTAATAGAATCCAGACCGGAGAAAAGGAAGTACTTTTCTTGTAATTATGATAGCAGATTTTAATAGTTTCCGGCTGCCCTCACCTGGCAATTGGCATTACACAGAAAAAGTTCTTAAAGGGATAGTTCAGCCAAAAATTACAATTCTGTAATTAACTACTCACCGTCATGTCTTTCCAAACCTGTAAGACCTTAGTTCATCTTTGGAACACACATGGAAAGTCACATGGATTACTTTAATGATGTCTTTACCTTTCTGTGGCTTGAAAGTAGTTTCGTAGTCTGTCAATGGAGGGACAGAAAGCTCTCAGACTTCATTAAAAAGATCTTCATTTGTCTTTCAGAGATGGGTTTTGATATTAAGCTGAGTAGTCAATAAGAGAAATTTCAATTTTAGGCAAACAATCCCTAATCATTTACTGGATATAAGCACTTCAGTAACATTTCCATCCCCATCCAGTTTAATTTATTTGTACCGAATACACCATACCTTTTAAAAAGATGCAGTGTTTTAATAACTGTATAGTTTGTATAAACTCATTCATGGTTTGTCTTTTTTTTTCTATTTGGAAAAGCAGATACAATATATTAATATAATAAAAATATATAATTGTGTTTTCTGGCTAATGTGATTGCTGTCTTTCCCAGAAATGCTTCACTTTCTTTGAAACTACATTTACATTACAAATATGTCCTTTTTGCGTTATGTGCTACAGATACCCCCCTTTAATAAGCACAAACTGGTCAGACCAGTACAGGAAATGTTCCCCAGAAAGGGCCAAATACCAAAGATTGCAGCCATGCTGAGAATTCACTAACTCGGATAGAACTATGACAAAGCATGTGATTTACTGTAAATAGTATGAGCCTGAGGGGACAAGCCGGTCAATGATTAGTGTCTTTACCTCAGTGAGTCCAGTTGTGACCACCTCTGTGGACACCCAGATATATTTATAAATGTAGGCATATTGCTCATTGATAACGTGAAGACAGAAGAACCATTTGCAAGTAGTTAAAAATGACTGTTTCCCAACTTAAATTTCATAGAAACACTGTCAAATGTTCAAGACATGGTTATGGGCTTGGTTTATGTCAGTTAATACATTAAATCATTTGAACAAATGAGACCTTATTATGAAGTGTTCCCGGAAATGTAATAGTAAGGGAAGGGATGTGAGAGAAGCTCTGGTGATTTCACCTGATTGTTCCGAGTTAAGATTCTAAGACAACAGCGTCATCTGCTGGCTCATAAAACTGGAAATATAATATTATCAACTGCGTAACGGAGGAATATTTTCTTTGTAGATGTCTTGTGTGTGTTGGTTAAAAGTTAACCACATCAACATTAAAGAAAATTGCAAAAAAGTAAAAAAAAAAAAAAACTATCTATGGACAAATTAAATATAATGTAGGCCAGAGTAGCCTACACACTACACAATTCAAAATTCAACTAACCAGACCGCGCTGACACGCAAAGGGATTCAACCGAAATTCAGGCATCGGATCGTTTGTCATTGATCACGTGAGCTGTATCAGCTGAAACTAAGGCAAATATCAAAGTGATTTATGCAAACATAGGCTATCTAGACCTTAATTACTTTGACATATCCTAAAACGTTTTTTTAAAAAAACTTTTAAATATGACTTGGTTTGTTAAATTACTTTTAAGTGCAATTTAGAGTAGCTATTATGCCTAGTTTCTTTTAACAGAATTACTGTAAGTAAATAAGACAAAACAATGTTTGAATACACAGTTATTCATACACGTGAAATGTACTGTAAAATACTTTTGTAATAGGCGTATTAGTCTACTCTTCCAAAGTATGCAAATTATTATGCAAACAAAATTCCTTGTCTCCATATAACATAGTTCTGAGGAAGTCATTTGCTTCATTCAACGAACGAAATGGAAGAGACTCGGAAAAAGATTCATTGATGAACAAGTTAGAACAGGAAAGTCACACAGAACAGAGACAGAACAGAGTATAGAAGAACAAGAGGCGAAACTTTAATGTTTTTTTGGTAACAGCCACTAGGTGCCGCTTAGGAAGCGGCCACCATTTTGGGGTGAAAATTCCAGCTGGAGTTACTGGACAACAGCACAGATAACAGTTTTTTTTTTGTTTGTTTATTATTTTTTTGCAGTTTTACTTATATTAACGACCGTCTTAAATTTAACGGTCATTAATATATGATAATACTGAAAAAAAAGATATTCTATTGCTGTTATTGTATTTACATTTACATTTTAGTACAATTACATTTATTTGCTAAATTCTTTTATTTCATTGATAACTTATTTTTGTATGTACTGTGTACCTCATAGAAACGATCAAACTTCTAATTATAACTTTATAAACTGATAATCACTTTATTCTTACCTGTCACACTTAATGTGGAGAGTAATATAATTAATTAAATCCTTGAACTTCCCTGTTTTAAGTTGTGGGGGAAAGCCTGGTTAAGTAGAAACTTCTTTTTAACTGCTATAACGTTAACTATTGTGAGTTAAAATAACCACCTAATTATTTCAACCTAAAAATGACCTCTGCACTGGACTAAATATATGTAATATACTGCCGCGTTGCTTTCACCCCAAAATGGCGGATGCGTAGGGCTGCTGCTGAGCATTTGAACTTCCAAAGCCTGATAGGATAGTTCCCACATGACGTCACAACATACGGGCAATCGGGCATTTGCCGACCAGGCGCCATTGCTGAGGGCAGAACATTAGAAGAAACAATACGAATTAAACGAAGTGAAGTGATTTTCGTGCTAAAACGTGAAAATGGTCATCTCCTGCTGGGTCAATGGATGTTCAAATCGTGCCGGAGGTTCAGTTAAATTTGGATTTTACAGTATTCCCGTCATTAGACTCCATGAATGTGAGAAGACTAAGTTTTTGTCAGAACAACGACGGAGGTTATGGCTGGCGAGGATAAACAGGAAAGAAACTCCCTCAAAACACTCAAGAATTTGCTCAGAGCATTTCGTGTCAGGTACGTATCTTATTATGTTGACAGACGTAAGTTACTCAGTACTATCTTGTGTAAGCTGGTAACTTGTGAGTTCCATAATCCATACTCTGTTATGAGGGGGATCGCTGTCGTCACGTCCGAGGTTCTCGCGGGCAATGCAAATGGATTAAATAGATAATAATATTTCTATGGTGGGCCAAAACAATGTTCACAAAAAGAGCATTGCTTCTGTAAAAAGATCTATACTGTAAAATATCTGTGACTTAAATAAACGTCTCGTTACGCCTGAAAAAAAAAACAAAAAAAACAGCTGTTTGTCCATTTACCAAAACATCCGGTCAAAATCTCGAAAATAATAACAGAGATCCAGGGTGTCCGTGCGGTATTAAAAATAATTTGTTAATTTGTCACTGTGCTAATATAATTAAAAAGCATTAAATGCAGTTCCAAGAACTGGCTTTAAATCTAAAGTTCTTGAGAAATGCTAGCATTTCTTGTTAATTTTTGCTGCATAATTACGTAAAATATGCAAAATGTCAAACTGTACTGTGCTTTAGATTTAACATATTATTAGGACATGATTTATTTTGTGCTTGATTTCACGTTTGATTAATTTAGGCAAACCATCAGACCTATTTGACCAAACCAATCCGGATTGGGCACCTTCCCTTAAGTTGGCTGAATGTTTGACACCAAGGAAATCGGAAAGCAACTTGAAACAAACCACAGGCCGCACAAACAGGTAAACAAAACAGCACACTGATAAACAATTTTGAATCACTTTTACATATTAAATAGACAAACTCGTTGTAAAAATGTAACATATTTGTCTTGTACATAAGTTTATTTATAAATGTTTCTATTTTATTTTTTTTAATTTCTATATATATACGGGCAGAAAAGAGGAAAGCATTTTTGGAGCTAAATGCTACCACCATAAGCGATAATGAATTAGAAGCAGGGTTTTCGGGTTGTCATTTGTGATCAATCAATTCTCTTCTTTTTAGTAGCTGGTGTGGAAAACTGTGTCTTATTTCTGCATAGTCCACCTTGTTGATGGTTGGGAGTACCCATTTTGCTTTTTGTTGAGTGCAAGTTGTTGATGAACTCACAGTAGAACAGAAAAGCACACCAACATGTGAGCAGTTGACAGAACCATCAGGCTTGCAGATGACCCAGTGACTTGTCATTGAGACTTTGGGAATGTTTGACCTAAACAAAGAACTTATTTGGGTTAATTAAAACAAATGGGTTTATATTATATCATTGGTGTATTTTATGCATGATGTACAAGTTACTTGTTGTACATGGACTGATATGCAGATTCTAATAATATTCTTCAGTAGGGGTTGATGGTACACAGAAGTCACGGTTCGGTTCATATCTCGGTTCTGAGGTCACGTTTCGGTACAATAGAGGGAAAAGCAAAATAAAAATGCAAAAGGCAAGTTCTATTTGATTGTTGTATGTAAAGCAAGCGAGCTGCGAGGTATTGTCAGAATTTCACCTGAAATAAGTCAATAGGAACATGGTACAACCTTTAAATAATAAAAAAATCCCTTTGGTGAATGAATGTAATTTGATTCTAAAAATTATAAAAAGTAATATTTAATTTTTTTTATTTTTTACAGACGTGAAAATGTCATCCCAAACTGCAAATGGAATGGAAAAGCTGCTGGGCCATCAAATGAGGGGAAGACTTTCCAATTCCCAAAGAACCCAAAGAGCCATCTTCCAAAACGAAAGAAACAAATGGTCCCTAGCAACAGTGAGGATGAGGGACCGGATGCTGACATGGTGACAACTGTAGAGACCCCATGTTCTTCAAAAAGTCTTGTGGCACTTAAGGTGGAGAATGAGATGCTCAGGGAAGAGAATGAAAAATTGAAAATACAATTAGAGAAACAGAAGCAAATTTTTTCCTTCACTCAAATTTCTGATAGTCCTGACAGAGTTCAGTATTTTACTGGACTGCCTGATGTTGCCACTGTCCTGTTTTTGGAATCGATTCTTTCTAAATTTGAGCTACAATATCATTCTGATGATTGGACTGTCCAAATTATGCCCTTAGTTGATCAATTGCTCCTGACCTTAATGAAGCTTAGACTAAATTGCGGCCACATAGACCTTGCAACAAGGTTTAATTGTAGCACAGCCACAGTAACCAACATCTTCACCACCATCATTAGTGCCCTGTATGATATTTTGTATGTCGGTTTGTTTGAGAACAACATCCCCTCCACAGCCAAGAATCAAACATCACTGCCAGACTGCTTCCAGCCCTTCCCTAACTGTAGGATCGTGCTCGACTGCACAGAGGTTGCCGTCTCTAACACGGTGACGCTTGATGCACAGTGCCATTTGTACAGCCACTACAAAGGACGAACCACACTTAAGGCTTTAATCGGTGTTGCGCCTAATGGATGTATTACCTTTGCCAGTGACCTGTACGGTGGGAGTGCCTCAGACAAGGAAATAACAGCTGACTGTGGACTTCTCCAACATTTACATCCTGGCGATATGATTATGGCAGACAAGGGCTTCACAATTTGGGACATTTTGCCAGAAGGAGTTTCCCTGAACATCCCGTCTTTCCTCGTCAATGGACAGTTTACGCAGGAGGAAGTGAACTATAACACATTCATTTCAAAAGCTAGGATACATGTGGAGCGGTCTATTCAGCGACTGAAATTGTTTCACATTTTGGACCACATTCCATACCAGTTCAAACTAAATATTAACAAGATACTGAAAGTGTGTGTTTGTCTTACAAATTTACAAACACCCATTCTTTGTGAAATTAGATAGGTTAACTGTTAGTGTATATACATGAATTTCTGGGTTTAATTCATGTCTATATAAATAACTGCATTTATAGTTTTATTTTAAAGGGTTAGTTCACCCAAAAATGAGTTTCTGTTAGTAATTACTCTCCCTCATGTTGTTCCAACCCCGTAAGACTTTCATTCATCTTCAGAACACAAATTAAGATATGTGATCCAGCTCTCAGATTTAATCACAAAATCTTAATTTGTGGTAATTTGTGATTACTCAACATGAGGGAGAGTAATCACTGACAGAATTTTCATTTTTGGGTGAACTAACCCTTTACGGTGTTATTTTAACCGTGTAGTTATATATTGAAGTTCTGAGTAATATTAATTAACTACATGTACTTACTATAGGGTTAGGTATAGGATTGGGGTTTGGTTCAGGGTTAGTTGCATGTAATTATGCATTGCTGTTATTACAATGCAAGTACATGCAACAAATGTAACATACTGTAAAATAAACATTAATAATACATTTATTTGCAAGACAAGTTCTACAGTACTTAAAGTGTGAGAGAATGTATGGTAGGATACAATCTTTATGAAATACTTCCAGCGTGTCAATGTTCAGAGGCCATGTAGGGTCTTTGAGCACTGGTAGAAGGACAAAATCTAGAGGAGTCCACACCAGCTGTAACTGTTAGCTCTGGTCAGGTGCAGGTTTCCTTGAATCTGATGCCAGTAGTTGTGAGTTTGTTTTAGCACCAGAGAACCAACCACTTCATCGAACTCCATGAAAAAGTCCCTACTCTCCCTTGGTTCCCCTGAGATCCACCAAGTATATCAGACAGCAACAGTCCCCTCTTGTATAACAACACCAGTGCGCTCAGTGTATTCCTGCTTTGCCCTTGGGTCATGCAGGATTCCCCAATCACATGCCTTGGCGGGAGTGGACAAATGCCATTTAGTCTTAATAAGTGTTAATAAATCTTTACAGTTTGCGATTCAAACGATTTATTCATCGTCTGAAATCGTTTAAAGCCCTTTCAACAGTTTGCAGTTTGCACTGAAACTGTCTTTTGGACCTTGAACCGTTTGGTTCCCATTGAAGTCCATTATATGGAGAAAAATCCTGGAATGTTTTCTTTAAAAAAAATTCTTTTCGACTGAAAAAAAAAGACATGGACATCTTGGGTGACATGGGGGTGAGTAAATTATCAGCAAAAGTTTTTTGTTTTTTTTAAGTGGACTACTACTTTAACTGCGTAATGTGGTTTAAAGCTATTGCTAATAATATTAATCGTATTTATGAAACTCTTCTAACATACATTCACGGTGTGTTGTAGTGCAGCTAAAAAAATATGATCATAAGCTTTATCACCATATTGAAATTGACCAGTGAGGCTGAGATGTACACTGTGATTTTTTTTTTAATGCTTAGATTGTGTGCTATAAATAAATGATCATTACTCTCATTTTATTCATTTCATCATTATAACCAGTTTTACACCATTGTTTCAGCTGGCATCAAAAGACCTGTCACCCAGGAGGACAAAGAATGGGTTCGGGGATCCATGTTGAAGCTTGGGCGTTTACAGGGATGAGATTTTGAGTCCAGAACTGCCTCAGGTAAGATTTTTTACTTTGGTACTTTTCATGTTCACTTAAAATTAGCAGAAACATCACAACATTCATATATGATGACGACTTTTCCATTGACTGCACTTCGCTCACATGTGTATAAACTACTAGCCAATATCAGATAATGGTACACATGAAAATACTGTATCTGAGGCAAAGCTACATAATCAGTGCTCAGTGCTTCCTTCGTTAGCTCATACGGATCCACACCATTTGTTAATGAAATTTTCTCATTGTACCTCTCTATCTTGTGGTAATAGTCTCTTTATAATCTCTTTCACTTTCTCTCTTCATGATTTGCGTAACTTTATAAACAGAAATAAATATTTGAAATTTGATTGTAAAACATAAAATGACATTCTCTGGTAAAACTCATAGATAGTAAAAGAAAGCGTCTCCGGGGAGGTCACGTGATATTAATTGGCCTGTGGGAACTATGTATAAAACTTAAACTTTTTTTTTTTTAATGAGCGATCGTTTCGCTTGATAAGACCCTTATTCATCGTCTGGAATCGTTTAAAGCCCTTTCAACAGTTTGCAGTTTGCACTGAAACTGTCTTTTGGACCTTGATCCGTTTGGTTCCCATTGAAGTCCATTATATGGAGAAAAACCCTGGAATGTCTTCATCAAAAACCTTAATTTCTTTTCGACTGAAGAAAGAATGACATGGATATCTTGGATGACATGGAGGTGAGTAAATTATCAGCAAAAGTTTTTTTTAGAAGTGAACTACTCCTTTAATTACTTTTAATACTATAAAGAAAACCTGTTGAACCACAGTCCACAACTAAACTGCCAAAAATGAATTGAACACTGTTCAATTCAGACGTTTTCCAATTCTAACCAACTGCAGCAATAATAGGACCTCTTATAAGTTAGTTTTTCATTATTTTAAAGTGAATTATCAGCTGAAAACGATTGTTACTAATTGCAACTTTGATCATTTTACTGAAATGGTTATGTTACATGTGCTTGGTTACTCATGTTTTTCATGTGTGAACTGGTTTTATTGTGCTTGTGGAGACAAGATGCATGCAAATTATTAAGATTATGCAACTTTTGTTGCTAGAAGGAGGACAACTGGAGTCACTGGAAACCTCACTGATAGATGAAGTGATAGATTAAACAAAGATTATGTGTTATCAAATCAAAATTTGATTTAATTCAATGTGTTACTTGCCATTTTTAATTGCTTGTGAGATTTATTATTGTATTAACTATATACTATATCAGTAGTGACTGGTGATAGGGATTATTTTGCAGGGTTACACCTGTTACATAACTGACACTGAGTCTTTCTGTTTAGACAAGTTCACTTGATTACACGTACGGTGAATAAAACTAACAACAGTGAAAGTCTTGCACACGATTAATTGTACTGTGTTGTGAAATCTACAAGGTTCGAAAGTTTGTGGTGGTACGATTTTTTAAAATGTTTTTAGAATACATCAATGCATTTGATCAAGTAAAACAGTAATATTCTTTAACTAATTGTTTTTTATTTTAATATATTTAAACATTTAAGTTATTCCTGTGTGGGAAAAGCTGAACTTTTTACTCCAGTCTTCAGTCACAAGATCCTTCTTATGTCATATTATCAGTGTTAAAAACTGTTACTAAATTTTGTTTGTGCAAACGTTTTTATTTTTTAATCTACCACGTTAGCAGAAATATGCCAACCAAACACAGTGTATTTAGACCACACAGCCTCTCTCTTACAGTAACATTGTTTATTTTGCAGACATCTGGCTTTCACAACACTACTTCACTCAGCTCATTGCTGTTATATAACTGACACTTGTTCGTTTAAAGCCACGGCAGCATGAAAATATTCTGCTGAGATATTGATTTTAAGATAAAGCAGTCAAGTCATGTTTTTGTTGTGGTGCATGGTGTCATTGCCCAAATGCAAGAAAACATAGAGACATGATCATAAAGTGTACATTATATGTAAAGTTGTTTCTGCTTCATTTGAACACTCAAACTTACAGACACACTCCTTGCAAGGGGAGTCATTTCTCGTTAGAAACAATACCACACTCTACTAGGGTCAATAACACTGCATTAATATTTAATGCTTGCACTAGATCCAGTCACAGGACAATAATAATAGCTATAACCTGCTGAACTAGAAGCATTTTAAGGCACTTGATGGGTTCATGTAGAACTCGTTTTTGCATTCCACGGTGCTCTTCAATTGTTTTTCTGTAAACAAGCGCCAATAAACACATTCTGCTATTCAGCATTTTCACTCACGAGAGCCACATTTTTAAAATGCTGTCAAGTTTAGAAATTAAACTTTCATAATCCCTCTTGTATTTTACCTTGCGTTCTCCTCTAACGCTCAGAATCGCCTCTCTGCCTTCTAACGTAGCACCTTTTTTAGGCAGCATTGCAATGGCTGCATCTGAAATTGCATGATGAAAAAAAAATTCATCTGAATTTACAGTCGGCTACTTATAAAAATTACCCGGATGACCTATAGTAGAACAACAACACATGACAGACTTCGTCATTATTAATTTGACAAAAATTAGGACAAAATAGAGAAGGCATGTGTGAAAAACTAAGTACGCCATTACTGCTTCCATTAAAAGCAGTCAGGCACTGCCAATCAAATAAATGCATAGACGATTTGGCGGTTTGCTGGTCTGGAGCATTCAGGTGTGTGTTAACACAATGCCAAGGAGAAAAGACATCAGCAATGATCTTAGAGAATCAAATCCAAACATTTTGAAGACCATTATTCTACGTTGAGGAAGATTATTTACAAGTGTAAAACATTCAAGACAGTTGCCAGTCTTCAGGAGTGGACGTCCTAGCAAATTCACCCAAATGTCAGAGGCTAGGCTACATATTATACAGTCCACACAGCGTGTTAAAGTTCATGGCAGTACAATTAGAAAAAGATGGGTCAGCATGTTTGGAAGGGTTGACATAGGAGAAAGCTTCTTCCCTCTTCTGGAAAAATGTCCTTTGGACAGACGAGACCAAAATGGAGATGTTTGATCATAATTCACTGTGCCGCACATTTAGGCAAATCCAAACTAGTGTGAAGCCATCTGTCCGACAGCTAAAGCTTGTCAAAATTGGGTCATGCAGAACCAGAACTACTGAAAAAGAAAAGAATCAAAGAAGAGTTGGCCAAAACCCCTCCAGAACAATGTGAAGACTGCAAAGTCATTCAGAGATGATTACATTGTTACTAATTTAATGCTGCTAAAAGTGGCCGTACAAGCAACTGATTAGGTCACCATTGGGTTTTCTTTTGGCTTTATTTAATTTTAAGACCTTCTAACGGCCAGATAATTTTTTATATGTGCTAATTGGCTTTGTAAAACCATATAATTTTACTTTTTTAATTCCTATAAAGTTGGAATATATATATATATATATATATATATATATACAATATATATAAAAAAATATTTATATAATGTCAGATTTGCCAGATAAAAGCTTGCAATTCCCATTTTTTTAA